AGGAACATCTGGACTGCTGTGGGGGGGAAATCACCTGTACATAAAGCAGTCATAAAAAGGCCTATGCTACAGAAGCCACCACATTCAATCACTAATGTGTTGGCCTATTAACTTATAGCAATCAAGAATCTCATTATTGACCATGCATGTCTTATTGATTTGTTTTTTTTCAATACTATATAAGGGTATGGCTGTGAAGGGGGGAGGGTTGAGGGTCCAAACCGTGAAATAATGACTTCGACTCCCCTTCCCCCAACACCAACGCACACCCTCGAGCGTGAGCGTAAAACATCTAAATGAAGACACATTGAGACTTGATTGAAACATGAGTGGCACAAAATGGAGAATGGCCTGGCGCGTAAAAAAGGGGTGCGTTCATATTGGCGACGGGGAGGGGGGATATTAGTGGTTATGGGATGGCGGGAGACTCGTCTACATGACGTTTGTTTCCATGGTGACGGTCACTCTTGTCTCCCACGCAGCGAGATGGAGCTTTAATGCACAACGCGCGTCTCGTGCTCGTGCGCCCCTAACAGTATTTTATCAATAACTAAATCAATGCATAATTTCACTGTTGGGTCGCATATCGAAAGTACAACGAACCACACACAATGCATTGCTTTGAATGTGCCATTTCACGCCAAACAAACCCACCATAGTGTTTGCTCTAAAAAAGGAAAACAGAAAAAACAGAAAACGAGTTAAGGAATTGTTTGTGGTTCAAGGGAGATATTTTAGCATGCAGTTATTGTGTTTGTACACGTTTTTTTAAATGGCAGTGTAGGAAAATTAAATAGGAGGTTTAAAAGAATGTTCAAAGGTTAAGAAAAAACGCGTCAATAGAAGCAGGTTGTATCTCTCGCCAATCAATGCCGCAAATCAGCCTGCTGTCCACCTGTGCCGCTGATGACTGTAATAATGCATTTATAAATAGCAGTGTGTGGGCCGTCGGCGCGCCTCACAACTTTATCGTGCGTAAAGCTGCTGCACTGGTGTCGTTTCGCGCGTAAAGCCAAATTTCACGATGAGAATTTCAATAGGAGTGCAGAGCGAAATTAAGCGAGGTGTGCTGTTATATTTAAGGGATGTAGTGGTACTAGAGACTGAGGCTGATATCTGAGTGGGGCGTGACCGGCATGGCGAGAGGATCCGACTGTCGCGCCACAACCAAGGAGCGGGCGGAGGAGAGGCGCGAGGGACCCTGGGGTGTGTGCTGGTCAGCAGCGCCATCTGGTGTTCCAATTAGTTATAAGACTGAGATGCAACAAGATAATGAGCTTTTGATATTTTAATATTCCCTTTTTTATTGTACATTCTGTACTTAGCAGTAGGTCTTACCCTGACCCAAAATGTTACAACTGTTTTCTAAGTCATTTTATTGTCAGGGACATGCCTCGAAAAATACATTGTTAACGTCCCACAAACTGGGATAGTGCTTTTCTACACTGCCAACAATTGTTCAATATTACTCACTTAAAATACTTATTTTATATATATATAAAAAAAATAATGTTTGATGATTTTATCAAAACAAACACCAGAGGACGCTGTTGGCTGAGTTGAGTAGTAAAAGTCATTTCAGAAGTCTGTTCCCTTCCCTTATTCATAATGAGTGTCTTATCCAAAGACTCTCTCTGCTGGGGTTGAAGCCCAGAGCCTCCCATCGTCAAAGACCATCAGAATTCAAGGTGATGTCAGCTACTTCAAAGGGATTTCATATTTAAAAAGGGGGAAGATAAAATCTTTTAGTCATAGCATGGCTAAACAGAACTTTTTTTAACCTGGATTTGAACATGTCAGAGAAGAAGTCTGTCTCAAATTTTCAAGAGGACTGTTCCAGATTTTTGTTGCATAAATCTGAAACATTGTCTCCCCACGTTTAGTTGTGACTCTGGGCACCAGCAGGAGGCCAGTCCCCGTGCTGGCATATTTTGCAGATACGTACTATCATGTAAATTACAATTAGTGCCACTACAACATGCACAATGGTTGTTCTTTTCCATGAACAATATTTTATCTAACCAAGTTTATTTTGTATGCGCTTTTCATACAATAAAGCAACACAAGGTGCTTTACAGACATGCTCATGGCCTGACCACCCAATAGATCTACCCCTAACTACATATATTATTAAATATACACACACGCGCGCGCACACACACAACGCCTATAGACCTCAGCCAGGTCCATGTGCCAGACCCCTTCACAGCCTCTGCTAGCTCCACCATAGGAAATACTAAAACCATGCATCAAAAGTAAAATATTTAAATGTCAAAGTAAGAGAACTATAGCAAAATAGATAACAATAACAATAATAATAAAACTAACATAAAAGTAAAGTTTTAAAAGATGAAATAAAATGTAATAAGAAAGAAAGACTTCCTGTTATGAAACTATTGTGCTTAAGACAGTTAATCAAAGTGAAACATGATAAAAGCATTTCCTTCGCCTTCTTGTTTGTTCAGGACAGATAAGGCGTCACGTGTTAAGTCCCACTCGTCACATTCAAATACTTCATGCCTCAGTGCTCAATGCATCAATCAGGATGACCGGGAAAAGTCATAGAGGATGCAATGATGGAAGGAGATACGACAAATTTCATTTTGTTTTGCATGCTTTGGTTTGCTTAATTATCAAGGGGCTGGAATAAGCTGATGGCATCTGAGTTTGCACACAGCTTATAATGATATGGAAACATACAGTTGGCATTGTGCTTTCTCTCCAGCTATTGATAAGTTCTAAAATAAATAATTGTGTTTGCTCAAAAACAAAAAGACTAGTTCATCTCAAAATGGTAATACTGTTGTTCTTCATTATGATTCCAGGTAAGTCTTGCTTAAATGGCCTTTCAATGTATTTAAAACATGTTATGTTAATGATATATCTGTGTTATGAACCATTTCTCACAAATTCAGAAAGAACTTCAGAGTGTATGTAACTGCTGACAGACCTGAAACATACCTGATCTTTGATGCTCGCAAAGCAAATAAAATCTTGTATCTTGTATATTTTAGTGCAATCAGAATAAAGGTTCCCCGAAAAATATACTACTAAACATTTTTGAAACATGTTCACATTTTTTTTACAAATTAACTCAAATGTTGCTTAACCCTTGTATTATGTTAAGGGTCAATTTGACCCATTTCAGTTTTTGTGTTGATTAAAGTACTGGTTATCCTTTCTTTTTCTTCCTGAAATTTGGTGACTTTTCATCATCTAGGGTCATGAACTGGTGTGTAAAATCTGGACATCTCTTTTGCCTAGTGTACATCGTACTGGCAACTGATTATATCCGTCGCATATGAGTTGCTGCCCCGCACACATCGACAATGTGGCGAAAACGGGCATCTCCTAGTAGCAGGCCAGTCTCGGGAATAACAGCGCGTACATCGACAGCAACTGGCCGTCACCTACAGTGTGTTTTCTGACATAAACTATAGAGGGCGCAATACACGCAATACACACGTTGTTGGATCGCGCCACGGAGCGTGCACATCGGGTAATATCTCCGGATCTGAGGACAACTAGTTGCCGAAAAGTAGAACACGGGCAACTGACTGAATCCAGAGATCGACTGTTTATCTCCAGTTGTAAGAGCGCTCACATCGACCGATTTTGGCAACTGATCATCTTCCATCATCTACTCTCAGTTGCCAAAAGCCGTCTTGCAACTAGGCAATGCTAGGCTTTAGACAAACTCACCAAAAATGCGCTCCAGAAGGATGACGACATCTGAGGAGGCTTTATCACAGATTTTTAACTGGGATAATGATGTAGAGGAAGATATTTCAGAAACAGAGGATTTTTCAGAGACAGAGGACAATGTTATTGCTGATCCAGATTGTCAATTTTCTTACGATAAGGAGGATTCAGAGGACGAATCTTTGGCCAAGTAAAGAGGAAGGGAGGAAGGAAGGAATGTAGGAAGGAAAGAAGGGAGAAAGGAAGGAAGGAAGGAAAAGAAAAGAAGGGAATAGAGAAGGATGAACAGAGAGAAGGAAAACAGGATGAGAAAAAGGAAGGAGAAAGCATGGCAGGAGGAAAGAGGGAGGGAAGAATTGTCATTTTGACCCGAGAGGAGGACAAGAAGATTAGACTAAATATTTCTTAAATATATCGTTGGAATAAAAAATGTATTGTATGTCACTTTTCTAAATATTTATATAACCTAAAATAAAGCTGTTATTGGTTTAACCTGTTTTCTTGACTGTTTTGAGTGCATTTACACAGTACAGGTCAAAATGACCCGCAACATAATCAATGTAATTTTTTTTCAACATAATACAAGGGTTAATCATAGCCTGTGTATTTCATTGAATCAACTCCTAACAGTGTCTTCTACAGCCTTGGACAGCACCGTGAGCTCATACGTTCTATACTCGAAGCCCAAGACCTGGTTTGAGGCTCAGACATACTGCAGAGAGGAAAACTCAGACCTGGCTACTGTCGTAAATCTACAAGACAATGACTTATTAGCCATGAAAGAACCTGGCTTGGCTTGGATCGGCCTGTTTGATAATACAACCCAATAGAAGTGGTCTCAGGGTGCGGACTTTGACAGTAGCCGGTTCAGCAACTGGGCTGACGCTAACCCCAACTACAACCCAACTTCCACCGAAACTCAAATATGTGTTCAAATGCTCCCTGATGGTTTTTGGGACGACAGCGATTGTTTAGTGAGGCTTCCTAGAGTTTGTTACAATGGTATGTGTTTTCTTTCAATTATGTATTCTGTTCATGCATGCTTCTAAAAGAGATTTTAACATGTTTTCTTTCCAGATCATGAAGGATATTCACTGGAAAAACCCCTAGACACATGGTTAAGATCTCAGCTGTATTGTAGGGGGATTGAAAAGAAACTGGCGAGTGTGATGGACTCTAAACAGAATGATCTTATCAAGGCCCTCATACAAAAGAATAGCTGGATTGGTCTCCATAGATACACTTGGACCAATTGGTCTGATGGCACCTTTTCAACATTCTCTAACTGGGATGACCGCATGGACTTTTATCGCAATGCATCAGCCAAATTCCACTGTGCTATGGTCAACACTGAGACGGGGAAATGGTTCAGAGGGTCCTGCATGAAACCAATCCCCTTCATCTGTAATGGAGGAGGGTCTGGACACAGCAATGTCGCAAGAAATTCTAAACTCGGGTATACGAGTCGCATCAAGCTAGGACTGAAGACCGACGCAAATCTGAACAAAGCTGTTGTTCAAAGTCAGATCCTGCACCAGGTGAGGGAATGACCATCTGTTCGATTCTATTTCCATGTAATATATGTACATCTAATTTAAAGTAGTGGAAACACAATGTCAGAATTCTCATTTCAAGTTTTTTTCAAGATTTTTTTTCAGATGGGAAGAATAGACCTAACCTTTTGTTTTAATTTCCTCTATACAAATGCATTTCTCATCATTGCTTAGGTTTTGTATGTTCATCAATTTGCTGTTAGACTTTTCCCCTATAATTCTGAGAGCATTCCATTCCCATTTTCTTCCAATTTAGCCACGGGGGAAGTTGTCTTAAGCACAGATGCCCTGACTTTGCGATCCAGACAGCCTTCTTCCAGCTTTTTCCTGGTGAATCCTGGGGTTTTCCAAGGCCCGATGAGAGACAATAGTGTCCTGGGTCTTCCTTGGGGTCACCTAAACATGCTCCTCTCGCCGTGGAGATGCAGCGGCTCTACTCCGAGCCCCTCCCGTTTGACTGAGCTCCTAACCCTATCTCGAAGGGAGCGCCCAGCCACTCTGCGGAGGAAACTCATTTTGCCCCCTTGTATCCGCAATCTCGTCCTTTCGGTCATTACCCAAAGCTCATGACCATAGCAGAGGGTGGGAACGTAGATTGACCGGTAAATAAAGTGCTTTGCCTTTTGACTCAGCTCCCTCTTCACCACAACATCGATACAGTGGCCGCACCGCTGCACACGCCTTACCAATCCGCCTGTCAATCTCACGCTCCATTCTTCCCTCACTCGTGAACAAGACCCCGAGATACTTGAACTCCTCCGCTTCAAGAAAGCAGAGACCTCGGCAACCCGGTCCACAGATACAGCATCTTCTCTTGCTTATGGAAAATGAACATATATCTTGAAAAATCTTGCTCTTTTGTTAACCCCTTATACTGAACTTGTGTTTGACAGATCCGTGCCAAACTTGAGGAACATGGCCTGTCTGACTTTGCACTGCGCTGGACTCAAATGGAGGGAAAGAGCTTGGAGGAAGGAGTAGAGGAAGAGGAGGAATGCTGAAGGCTCACACTGATCTTCATACAACCACAGGAGCGCTCTTTGTCCTTGTGCTTATATTCTTCAACCTGTAATGAACCGGGCTATGTGTGACCCGTTTGGCAAAGTAGTGCATGCATATAAGCAATTGTTATTAGGCTATTTTCTAACTAATAAAACCAATCTACAGTTGTGTGTGGTTGGCTTGTATATTCATTTCACAAATACATTTTAACATCTTATCCTTTCAGTATTCTGCCCTCATAAAGACAATTTCATATCTAGCAGCCTTTACTTTTGGACTGTTGGGTTTTCTTTGCTGTTGTTTTTACTGTATACACTTCAATCGAGACCATGTTTTATTGACCCACTTACATTTCCAAGAGAAGATTTGAGTCACTGTTTTCCGACATAGAAGGTTCTATCTGGAAATCAAAGCAATCAATCAGAATGTATTTCTGTAGCGCAGTTCATACAAAATACAACTCAAAGTGCTTCATGCTTCAACATCTAAAACCATGTTGAAGTCAGTCAGAAAAACACACTGTAAAACACATACAAACTAAAAACACAACTAAAAATAATTGTTTTTAGACCATACTTAAATGAAGCTTGTCTCGCTCCTTCCGAAAGATTGTTCCAGATGTTAGGTAAGTAGGTCCGTAATGCTGCCTCCCCATGTTTAGTCCTGACTCTAGGCACCAGCAGAAGGCCAGTCCCTGTGCTCCTCAGAGTCTGAGTTGGTTCAAATGGCACTAACATGTCATGGATGTACTATATGAAAATGTATGGTGAGAAGGGCCTTCTTTCATTTGCTGACTTCTGAATCCAGTTTGATTGAGAAAAGTGTTTAGCTTTGTTTACTGGCAGATGATCCATGAACTATAAAAAGTGCCAATTTAGTCCCCACACCCCTTGTTGCAGTTTGTAGACAGTATGTAGATTAAAGGTTGTCATTTCTACATTGTATTCTCAGATTATAGAACAGACTCTCGCCTCTCAGCAAGAAGGTCCTGGGTTCGAATCCCGGTCGGACCAGGGCCTTTCTGAGTGGAGTTTGCATGTTCTCCCCGTGTCTGCGTAGGTTTCCTCCGGGTACTCCGGTTTCCCCTACCACTAAAAATATGTACAATACTGTAGGTCTGGCATGCGCCTCCTGTTCGGCGACCCCGCTCCCATCTCTGTGTGGAGTGAGAGACAAGTGCCCAAAACAATAATAACAATTGTAAACCGCTTTGTAACCCTTGTCTGTGAAAGGCGGTATATAAATAAACATTACTTACTTACTTACTTACTTACAGACTCATGCCAATACACATAGATCAGAGGTTGGGACACTGCTCAAGAAATCCATGTGAAATTTATTTTGTGACTTTCTCTCCTTGCAAACGTTCTTTGTATGGAGTTTAAAACTGACTGAAACTGTGGAGACCTATTTTCACATAACATGGGGAATGCCCAGGAGGAGTTTCACACTTCTGGGAGTTGATTCAGACACAGTTTGTCCCCTTTCCAATGAAATTCCTGTCCCCTGGTCCTACTCCTCAACATCTTCTCAGTGTATGTAGGGTGTTGGAAGTCCTTTCACTCACTGTCCCACCGTCACTGTTGTTCCCAGCAAGAAGATCCCAGGTTCAATTCCCGGGACAATTCTATTCAATTAGATGTATTCTTGTATAACCATTGAATTTGCCAACACAAATCAGATAGCGAAACAGTTTTAACACAAGAAACAGAATAGAATACACATATCTACATAGGTAACCGTTCATTTACTCTAATTTCCCCCACTAAAAATATATGCAATAAGTACACAGTATGTAAGAAAATGAGTGTGTCTGGGACAACGGTTGGAAATTAGTCCAAAGCTTTACAATCCAAAGCGGGCTGTTCATTCCCAAGCTCCGGGCCATCTGAAAAACAATCTCTGGACTATCAATCTCTGTACTAGAAATTGCAGTTTATTTAGTCATAATATCTTTGAGTTTCCATTGTTATCTTGTTTGTTTCGTTATTACCTTTGTTTTGTCTGCTGTTGTCCTTGACCTGAGTGTGATAATGTCTATTTTGTCTTTTTACATTAAAAAAGGCTTTACAAAATAAATATTATAAACTTGAATTTTATGTCATGATCATCTGTAAAGTCCAGATTACCCTGGTCCAGCGGACACCTTCTGAAGTCACTGTTTAGTCACAGAGACTTGATGATGATGATCTAAGTGACCTCAGTACAGGACAAACGCTCCATTAGTTTCACCTCTTTGAATGGGCGCCTCTGCATCATGTTTTCCTAACAAAAAATGGTCTGTCTTTCTTTCCTTTATATTTTAGGACAACATTTTGTTTCTCCAACATTCAGAGTGTTATTTGATATTGATATTCGTTTTTATATAATGTAATGCAGATATATTAACTTAAAGATCAGTTGTTTTTGCCCATGGGTTACATTTGCAGCACTTTCATATTCAATAATCCTTAAATTAACGCAGCATAAACAACACTAAAAACTTCCAGAATTCTGAAACTATATTGCCCAGAGCCGACATTTTGACTGCTCCCATTCAGAAGATAAGATGGACTTTATTGATCTCACACAGGAGAAATTTACATGTCACATCTGGCATGGATAAAATCACTCAAGATTTTGCAAAAGAAAGAAATGTGCAGATATGTTAAATGCAGGATATATTATGTACAATATAATAATTAGGTTATTAGGAATTAGTATTATGTAAGTCATTTACAAGGTAATAGTAACTCACTAGGTACATTGACCCACTTTTAAATAAGTTCTAAAACTGGTGAATACAACTACAACTACAACAATGGCTATATCCTAACGTGCTGACAGTGTGTGTTGCTATGGTAACTACAGTACTGGGTCTGCTCTGGGAGTTAATGGTAGAATTACTCACATTTTAGAAATTAAAGGTGAATGTACTTTTTGTTGTAGAATTTTTTCAAAGCACAAGACTGATCCGCACTTACTGCTCATTTGCAGATTTGATGATGATGAGATAAGTGACCTCATTATAGGGCAAACGCTCCATTAGTGTCACCTGTGTGCCTCTACATCAACTTTTCCTAACAAATATTTCACTTTTGCATTCTGTGGTTTGCATTTCTGAAGTGATAAAAAGTGGAGGTAGGTAATCCAACATGATTAAGACCATAACAGCGCTCTTCCAGGTAAGATGCCAAGCCGGTTCTGACTTTTACTATAACTTATAATATTTTAGTTAGTAATTTGTGCCTTAAGCCAAAGCAGATTCCTAGTTTGTTACTTCCTGTTAAGTACAATGGCAATAAAAATGTATCTGATTTTTATTCTACCAAACTGAACTATTTTCATTCATTTTGGGCACAAGCAGCGGAGAGAGTTTCTTCCAGCACATGTTTAGAAAAGCCTTCTCACTAACATCATAACCACACCCTTCTCTGTCCATGATGCAATTAACTTTGTATTGTAACTGTTTTTAAAATGCACTTTGTTACTTGTACATGAGGCAACCTTTAATGTATTATTATTATTATGTATCTCTTTGTTTCCTAGAATGAGGCTGACACTACTTCTACTGGTTCTCGTCATCTCTCACAGAGGTATATGTTAATATCTATGCTCTGTTTTTTAAGTTTGTCTGATTATTCGCTGTATATGTTTTAGGAAAACTAATACGTGTTGTGAAAGAATTTGTAAGTAAGAGTGGAGGAGACTTCTGGGAAGGTCTGGATAAGTGCAGACATGACATGGACGGTCTCGCCATCATTGAAAGTCCACAAGAAAACAAAATGGTGTCGTTGTTTGACGAAGACTATGTGTGGATAGGCCTGTTGGACGACATGAACATTTGGGCGTGGTCACTGAACAATGCAGAATTTGACAATAACAAACATTTCAGCCTCTGGAATACATCGAGACCTCAGCTCATTGTTGGAGAGCTCATTTGCGTGGCCATGGATCCAAACGGTCACTGGAGTGATCGACTGTGTACAGAGGAACTTCCTGCGGTCTGCTTTTATGGTAAGTGTAGAGCTATTTGTATAAAAACAATAACAGTGGATCAGTTTAGGTTAATATTTGTGTTTGTGGTCATACGTGCATGGGAAAGCCAGATCTGGTCAGACCTCAGAAGCTAGTACTGTGATGGGAGACCGTTGGGATCATCAGGTGCCACAGTGGGGCGGCTGCAGCTGTAAAGCGCCAAACTGTCATTGTGTCCTTAGTAAAGAGACTTCACCCACATTAGAATGAGTCTGGTATGTGCGTGAATGTTTGGTGGTGTTCAGAGGGGCCCATGGCACATAATGGTTGCCTCGCTTCTGTCAATGTGCCCCAGGGCAGCTGTGGCTAAAGTAGTAGTTTATCACCACTGTGAATTAAGTGAAATAATAATGACACAAGAAGCGTCTTTGAGTGTCCTGAAAAGTGCAATATAAAACAATGCATTATTGTTATTATTATGATTATTTGCTGACAATGCACTTTGCTTTGATTTGACAGAGCCGGGTCAAGCCAAGTACATCTTGGTGACCACTCCCAGGACCTGGACGAGTGCCCGGACCTACTGCAGATATAATTACGCAGACCTGGTCAGTGTGAGGAACCTGACGGAGAACGGGAACGTGTCCACTCTGCTCACTGAGCCCTCATGGATTGGCCTGTACCGACGGGGCTGGGGGAAGTGGCATGACGAGACCCCTCTCACTTTCACAAACTTCAGAGAGGAAGATATGCTCCTGAACCAGACCAGCTCTGAGCTTCAAAACTGTGCAGTGGCAAGCACCAGGACAGGGCTGTGGAAAAAAGTCCCTTGTGACGAAGACTACAGACATATTTGCCAGATAATCACACAAACCTCCGAAAACACTCTAGAGGCGCGGCCAACTTTGTCCACAAACACTTTTAAGTTACAGCTACGGGCTGGCACTGATTTGAATGATCCAAGAATCCAAGAGCAGCTTCTACTCCAAGTGAGTGTTATCAAAGAGTGTGTGCGTGTGCTTGCGTGTGCGTGCGTATGATG